TCCCGGACTATTGGGAGAAGGTCTGGGATGGGCTGTATTGCTAGAGGGAGACCCTCAGCCCCACCGCAGGTCTCAGTTTCCCCATCTCTAAAATAGGAGACCTCCAAGAAGTCTCCCGAGACTGAGTCTCTCAGATGTCTCTGTTTGGATGGGCCTCGGACAGCCTAATAGACCACTGAGAGGCTGCTGGGGGGGCCACACCCAGATGCCACCTCACTAGGGGGCCCCAGGAATCCCTCTCCCAGCTTGGCTACCACCTGCGCCAGGCTGCCAAACCCTTTTTAAGGGGAGGTAGGGGAAGAGACCGGAGCCCAGAGAGGGTCAAGGGCTTACGCAAGGCCAGCCCAAGGCCAGCCCGAGGACTGGGGAATAGGCAGGACTAAAACACGCTGAGCTTGTGGGCTGGTGAGGGCTGAGCAGCCACCAGGTCTGTGGGAGCAGGGCAGGAGCCAGCAGGGAGCCTGGGGGAGGGAGGGAGCAAGGCTCAAGCTTCTCCCATGACCAGGCACTTGGGCTTGCCCTGCTCGCTGGGCAGGTGCTGGGCACGAAAGCAGCTTAACTGGCCCTTGAGCACTAAGCCTGGGGTTGCCCTTGGCCCCCCTGCACCTTCTGACCCGCCGGCTTAGCTGGAAGCAGCTCCAGGCCAGTGAAAGCACCACCCCCTCCTGGAATCCTGTCCTTAGACGCGAACTCCTTACATCACCATAAGAGGTGTAATCCCAACAGCCGGTGACCAGGTCAGTCCACACCTTTCCTGGCAAGTGGAAATCAGACTGGTGGGAATATTTGCAATTGTTTACATCTACGAAGCATTTAAAATCTTTGTTTCCTGTTTCCTGATTAGAAAATAGATACACACTCACTGTGGTAAATTCAGAAAATACATAAAAAAGTCAAGAGGTAGGAGGCCTCTTCCAGAGGCCAGGTGAAGCTGGGGAGCAGCCCCCAGCCAAACTTTGTCCCTCCTGGGCCTGGCAGTGTCCCCAGCTCCTGAACTGGCCTGGCACACAGTAGGTGCTCAGTAGTATCTGTTCCATAAATCCGTCATTCCTTCTACCCTCCAGGGTGCCTGGCTGCATGTCTCTCAGTCATCATTTCTAAACCTGAGGGTGGTGGCTCAATGTCATGTCACCAGAGCTGACACATCTGCTTGTGCAGGCTGTGGCCAGGTAGGACAGCCCAGTGGTCAGAGCCCAGGCCCCAGCAGTGGGGGGGCTCTGGTCAGAGGCCAGCAGCCTGCTCACTTCTCGTCCACCTGTAAAGGGGGACAAGGCTCTTGCCTTGCTTTAGGGTGGCCGGTAGGATTAGTGGTGTGCATTGAGGGCTCCAAATAGCCTGGCAGAAAATATTTTTGGAAAAATTGCTTTCTTTCCTAATATCCAGCTCACTGGAGTTACAAGCCCAGGTTACTTTTTTTTTTTATTCTTGCTTTTAGATTTAAAAGGTAATAAATTTTTTAAAAAGAGAGGAATTCCATGAGGCTTATCATTTTGCAATGGAACTTTCTGGACTTGGTTCATTCTAAGAGGTTTTTAGGATTAAAATCTCATTTTTCTATTGAGTAATAACTAAAATCAAGAATAAAGCAAAACAAAAAGCATTTTACATTTCCACAGTCATTATCCAATTTTAGGGAAACATACCCAGCCAAGAACTCTGCCACCACCACTAGGTTTATGCTTGGGTCCCCTCCCAGGCCACCGGGGCCTGTGGATGCTGAGTCAGGTGAATCAGGGGCTTGAAGAAGTATTCCTGGGGAGGCAGCACCTCAGCTACGCCCTGAGGGAAGAGGAGACCCCCCAGGCCAGACCCTTACCTTCCCCTGGAAACTTCTGGCAGCACGTCCATGTGACACCCATTTTACAGAGTGAAACACTGAAACCCGGGGCTTACAGACCTCCCCCTGCCTCCTTGGTTCCTTCCCCACCAGTGCACCCATCCACCAAATGTTTGCTGACAGTGTGCTGTGTGCTCCCAGCTGCAGCCAGCTCCTCAGTTGTCTGTGCAAGATTGTGCTTCCCTTTCCCGGCCTCCCGTGCCCGCAGCCCACCTGTCCCTCCCAGTCTCCCCTGCCTACTCCAGGGCAGCCACGTCCCCTCCATTTCATAGATGTGACACAGGCTGAGTGGGCGTTCTGGACAGGCAGCACGGAATAGCTCTGCTGGGGCACTGCATCAGGGAGGGCTCCCTGGAGGAGGCTGAGGCCTGGAGGGTAAGGAGACACCCAGGCAGATACAGCCCAAGCTCTGTCCCCAGTCTGTGCCTAGACATGGGGAGTCTGGGAACCAGGAACCCAGGCAACTGGAAGAGCCAGATGGGTGGGCCAAACCAAATGCTGGTGGGGGCCTTGCCAGTCCAGTCCAGCTTGGAGGCCACTGCTCCAGCCTAAGCACGTCACAGTCTCTCGCTAGCCTTGGGAGGGTGGCAGGGCCATCTCCATGCTTTAGCTGAGAACACTAAGCCTCAGTGCGAGGTTGCCCAACCCTGCCCTAGGGACAGGGAGGCCTGTCAGAGGGCAGTCATTTCCACCACGATGGGAGTGGCCCAGGCAGTCTGTCATCCCTGGTGGGCTGGTGCCTTTCCCTCCAGGTACCTCAGTTTCCCTCCCTGCACATGGTTGGTATTGCTGGGCTTTCCAGGAGCATGCTGTTCCAAGAGCCACCAGGAAAGGTGGATGGGACAGCCCAGATCAGGGTTCAAATAGACCATAGGTCCACCTCCCAAACGAACCCCAGATCCCTCCTGCTGCTTCTGAAGATGGTTTTGGCAGCAACTGAGTGTTCTGAGGCACAAAAAGGTGTACAGTTTCCTACAGAATGTGAAAGAGGTCAGGTGACCCCCTATGTCCCCTAACGGTACAAATGGAGGCCCAGCACCACATGCCTGAATATTCACAACGTGTAAACCAAGCTACAGGCTCAGAAAAACATGCTCTGGCCTCTCTGATACCACCTGTCAGGAGCTGAACTGTCTCCCCAAATCCTAACTCAGCACGCACATCAGAATGTGATCTTAATTGGAGACGAGGTGTTTCTAGGTCTTTACAGACCCTTTACAGGGTCTTAATCAAGTTAAGATGAGGGCATTAGGATGCGCCCTAATCTAACACAACTGGTGTCCTTGTAAGAAGAGATTTGGACACAGAGAGACACACACACACGGAGGGTGCTGTGTGAAGGTCACAGTTAAGCTGCCATAGGCCAAGGGACTACCAGATCTGGAAGAGGCAGGGAAGGACACTCCCCAAGAGCCTCTGGAGGTAGCACAGCCCTGCCACCACCCTGATCTCAGACTTTTGGCCTCCTGAACTGTGAGACAAATTTCTGTTGTTCTAAGGCCCCCAGTCTGGTACTTTGTTACGCAGCCCTAGGAAACACACTCACCCTAAATGGCCGGGCGTTTAGTATTTTTGGACTCCTGAAGGCCTGAGCCCCAGTGAGGTGGTGTGGGGAGCCACAGGCAGCCCTGTGTTTTCCATCCCCCACCCAGCTCCACCCAGCAATTGGAGGGCTGCCCCAGACCTCCCCTCCCAGCCCTGTCCTTGAGCCTATAGGCAGCTGCCCTCCAACCGGCAGTGCAGGGGGGTGGGGGAGCAAACCCAGAGAGGGGGCCACACAGGCCTGAGAGGTGGACCGGGGGCCATTTGGTAGGGAATTCTGGGGCCATTTGGAGGGGGATGGGGTCACAGTGGGCCCTTGGGTGGTCCTGCCCTTCTTGACACGGCAGAGGACACACATGCTGATTCAGAATCAAGGAAATTGAAGACAGCCATCATATGTGGCCCACAAGTCAAAGTGGGAAGAAGATATCATGGGGTAAAATCAACCCTGACAGGGAAAGGGGACACCCTTACATATACGGAACTTGAGCTTCTGGGGGCTCAGAAAGCAGAGGTGGGAAGGGGCTGTCCTGCCAGAATCCTGCTTTGTGGTCCCCCAGAACATCCATGCTCTTCACTGTCACCTGCCAGGCCCTCCAGAGCCCTGCCTGCCTGGGCCACCTTCCCAGGCTCCCTGAGGCTTGCCTCAGCCAGCTATACTGGGCTTCTGGCTGTCCCTCAAGCTACCAAACCCATTCCCACCTCAGGGCCTTTGCATCTGCTATTCTCTGTGCGAGGAATGCTTCCCCCAGCTCTGTAGAGACAGATCTCAGCTCATATCTCATCTGCTCAGAAGGCTTTTCTAGAGCAGCCCCAGCTCCTGGGTGTCTGTGGCCCAAGACCACATCCCCCCTTGGTGGTTGCCTGGGCAGGGGGCCATGACGGGCTGAGTGGGGTCAGAGGAAGAGAAAGGGGCTAGGCTACAGCTCTGGGCCCACTGGGGCCCACTGAGGGGCTGCTGCATGTGGAGCAGGGTGGGAGGGAGCGAGCCACGAGAAGGCGGGTCCCCAGGTGTGTGTGGGCCCTGGAGCCAGACCCCGGGGTGTTGAGTCTTGCTCCCACCACCCAGGGGCCCCTCAGGAAGAACCTACTGTAGGGTCACTCCCCTCAGGGAGCCTCAGAAGGCCTGGCCCTCAGTGGGAGACAGGACAAAGGGCTGGATCCATGTAGGACACCGTGGGGGTGATGGGGTGAGTCGGAGGGGCGGGGGCGGAGGGTTTTTGCTCTTTGCCCTTTGGTACCTGCTGAATTGTGCACTCTAGAACGCAAAACGCTACTTAGAAAAGAAATACGTGGAAGCACTTGGAAAACCACACTAGGAGTGAAGGTGAGAACCGGGCGGGAGGGGCCAGGTAAGGATCGGGAGGGAAAAGGTGTGGGGACAGAGGTAACCGCGCCTGCAAGGCCCTGGAGGAGTGACACTTCTCGCTTGGCCGACTTCGCCCACTCGGGGTTTGGTATCCCCAGGAGCCGCCCCCTGAGCTGGCTCAAGGGGTGGGCGGGGCCTGATCTGTGCCCGGCCCCGCCCCCGGGAGGGCGTGCTCCCGCAGACCCCGCCCCCTCCCGCCAGCCCCGCTCGCTGTCCCGGGTAGGCTCGGCCAAGCGCCGCGGAGCGCGCAGGATGCGCGGGGCGGCAGCGACCCTGCGCGGCAAGGGGAAGCCTCGGGGGCGGGCCGGGGGCACCACGCCTGCCCCAGGCAACCGCACAGGTGAGGGCTGGGGCCATGGGGCCGCGTACGGGGTTATGCGCCCATTTCACAGACGGGGAAGCCGAGGGGCTGGGGAGCAGGGGCTGGGGGTCACAGCCGGGGACCCCTAGACGAACCTCTCCACTCTCCGCCGGCCCAACGGGCGTCCCGATGGAGCCGAAGCTCAGCGGCGAGCGGTCGGAAACCAGGTGGTGACTTGCAGCCGTCAGCCCGGGGACGGCGCGCCCCTTCCTGGGTGGTCGCCCCGCCGCAGTCTGGGGCGCCTAAGGACCATGCGGTGGCCACGCCTCTCCGCGCGGCGGGCTCCGGGGCCGCAGTTCCCAGTCGCGCCTCTCTTCCGCGCCTGGGGAAGTCGGAACTGGCCTCACCTGGCGGGGCACGCAGCCTCCGGAGCGGAAGGGGAGAGCGGGCGTCCTCTGCTCCACAGAGAGGTGTCTTCTTCAGGGTTCCCTGGTAACCACTGCGGCCCCACTTTGCAGATGGAGAAACTGAGCCTGCAAGAGGGCAGTGACTGCCCGAGATCGCCTGGCAGCGGGACCTGGGACCGGCCTCAGCTTTCCAAGGCTCAGAGGTCTCCTAAAAGAAGGGAGGCTGGGTTTTATTTTACTTTTAATTGTTTGCTTTAAAGAACGTGCTTAAAGAGCGTTCACCTTCAGTGCAGGCACTGGGGTTTAAATGACGGCTTTGCTCCATGGATGCTTCCAACGTCTAACCCTTTTAGAAACAGAACCAAACCGAAACCCTGTATTTCAGATGTCCCAGAAGCTCACTTCTGTGGCCTCTGTCCAGTAAGGTTAGGCCTGAGGGGCCTGGGTGTTTCAGGCCAGCGCTGGGTTTAGGCTCTTTGCACAGGAGGAAGCTGAGGCCTGGAGTGGAGGGAACTGGCTCTGCCTGGCTCCCTCTCAAAGATGGGGAAACTGGGGCACAGGAAGTTAAGTTACTGAGCAGAGGTGTGCAACTCAGCAATGTGGGAGCTGAGGCTTGTCCCTGGCCCTGGTCAGCTTGGTTTATTTTGACTCCCCCAGGCAGCCTAATGCCCAGGGTCCCTTATCAATGCTGGGGTGAGGAGCACTTTTCTTCTGTGTTTGCGGGGGACCTGCCCAGGGCCTGGTACTGCTTGAGACCCCCTTCTACTGGCACAACAGCCTAGGGGAGTGGGTGTCCAGGGCCCCTTGTAGGAGAGGTAGCAGGACTTGCCCAAGGTAGCCCAAGGCCAGGGAGCAGTAGGAGGCTCTGGCATATCTGCACACAAAAGGCTGTTTGCTAGGAATCTCTGAGGGATGGGGGTGAGGGATGGTCCCTGAGTCCAGCATCCTGTGCTCCCGTTTGTGCCTCTGCCCCTGCCTCTGACTAGCTGCAGCTCAGTCCCCTTTCAGACCCAAGCATTTCCCAGGCACTGGGCTCCTGGTTGGAGTTTGAGGTTAGAATCCCTCCTCTGACCTAGGGTGAGTCTCTCCAGCTCTCTGCCTCAGTTTCCCCGTGTGCTAAGTGGTGAGCACTGTATACCTGCCCCCAGGCTGTGGACAGGCCAGGTGGAGCCCAGGGAGGGTCTTCGTTCTGCTGCAGGGGTGATGCCATCATCTGTACTGCATCACTCCCCTGGCGTGGGACCCTCAGTCTCTTGCGCCAGGAAGTGAAGGGATGGGGCTGGGAGCTTTTGGAGCCTTTGGAGACCGTTGGCACCGTCTAAAACACAGCACTGAGGTGTGTGTTTTCCCCACCATCCGTAAAATGGGACCATCATCACTGGTCTTCCTGGAGTAGACATGAAGAGTGGAGTAGTCCAGACGGACGCGGCATCCAGAGGGTCTTCCCTCATCTCCCTGGGTTAGGGGCTAGGGTGGGGGAGGCTGGCCCAGCAGGAGTTTGTAAAGTTTGTTGCATGGCTGGCCCCTGGCCCTGCTTCCAGGGCAGCTCCAGCGCTCCTTGATCTGGGAGATTGTCCAGGAATGCAGGGTTCCAGTGACTGGAGGTGACCCTGCCCCCCCATGCTAATCCCCCAGAAGGCACCTTGGAGGAAGGGCCTGGAGAAGGGGACACAGGAGGCCGGATGGCTAGGTGAAGGCCTGCTGCATGGGCATCTTCTTGGCCTCACCCCTAAAGCCGTGCCTCAGAGCTGGGCTGTGCCCATTTTACAGAGGAGAAACTGAGGCCCAGTGAGAGCTCATGTGAATCAAAGGGAGGCTCATGTGCCCCTTGATGCCTTGCTGTGGCTTCCTGCCAGGGTGCTGGCAGAGCTGCTGGATAAGAGGCATAGGTTCCTGGACCCTTAGTTTTCCCTGCCGGGGATTTGGGGAGCACACTTTTCCTAGAATTAACCAGTCCTGTTCTAGAGGAGAGTGTGCCTTCCACTGCGTGAGGCTGACCTGCTGCTCAGCTCGGGAAACCCAGGGCTGCAGCGGCTCTGAAGCCTGTGCCCTCCCTCTATGCGGAGATGGGCTCAGAGAGGGCAGGGCTGTGGGCCAGGGTCTTGGGGGGCTTGCCTCAGAGCACCTGCATGTGCACAAGTCACCCATTGAACTCCCTGAGAAATCTCTCCTGAGATTTCCCATGTTGCATTTGGGGAAACTGAGACCCAGAGCAAGGTCATGGAGATTCACAGGCAGGTGGAGATAAGGCTTGGCCACCAAGTGTAGGTGAGGCTGGGTCCAGCAGCCTTCCTCTCCCGCTCCCGGTGCCCTCTCTCCCACAGCCTCTGCCAGCATAAAAGGAACTTATTTACCTCGTCCCGCAGCGGGCAAGGTCAGGGTGTAGTGGCCGTGTGGGTGCCAGGAAGGAGGACAGAAGGGGCCGGCCTGTGGTCCAAGGTTCCAGATAAAGATTAACAAGCAAGGATTGTTCACAGAGGGTGGGAGGATGGGGACCCATCCAGGTCAGCGGCTCTCATTGTGTGCTGGGGAGGGAGGGAGCGCAGCTGAGTCAGGGGGGCCGCACAGAGGTGTAAGGTGGGGGTACTGGTCTGGCAGGTGGCAGGTGGCCTGAGGGCCACATGGCATCCTCACCACCATCCACTGAACCACGGGAGTGCTACGCTGGGCCTTGTGTGTTTTTATTTTGTATTTTGTTTGCATCAAATCCATTTTCTGTTTTACTTCTTATCTAAGATTTACTTTCATTTAGTGAAAAAAGGGGTCTAAAGGGTGGCAAGTAAGAAATGCCCCAGAGCAGGGCTGGAGAACAGGCGGTGTCCAGTGTCCATAGGGGGCCTGTGGGCGGGCAGGGCCAGAGTCCAGGGAGGAAAGGCCTCTGCCTCCAGCCTTAGGGAATGTGGGGTGTCCTCAAAGACCGCTGGGGGCATCCCCTGCAGGGGCCAGGCCAGGACGGGTGTCTGAGGGCAGTTGGGAGTTCCTGAGAGTTTTAAGCCAGAGAGGAGACCAGGCACCGAGCGTGGGGAGGAGCTGTCAGGAGGTAGTGAGAGGCGGCTGCTGCGGGACTCCAGGCTGGGGTGGGGGGTATCAATGAAGGGTGGCCGTGGATCTCCAGGCTGGGACTCAAGGCCTCTCTGCGTGAGTGGGACTCGGTTGTGTGGTGGTTAGGGACATGGGCGATGGAGTCCACCAGCCCCATCCACCATGTCTTGGTGATTTCTAGGGTACTCTTAGAGTTAGAGGCATCATAGACCATAGCTCCTGGCACGACACTGCCTGCCTGCCCACCCCATCTTGGCTGCTAGTTTGCCGAGAGTCCTGTGGAAAGGGTTACCCCGAAGGGGCAGAAGTCCAGGCTCCTACACTTGGCACTGCCATTGTACACCCAGGGGCCTTGGGCAGGTCTTCGGGCCTCAGTTTCCTCATCTGCAAAATGTGCCCAGCCCAGAGGAAGTGTTTGCCAGCCTTCCAGGCCCAGGGAGGGAGTGCAGGAGACCCCATTGGAGGGTAGGGGTGAAGGTCCCTTGGGTGCTTGGACTAGGGAGATGGGGACCTGAGGGGTGAAGGTTCCCTGGGTTCCATGGACCTTGCAGATTGGGGCGCTCATGTCCTGGGGTGCTCAGGATGTGGCTTAGTTGAAGTCCTGGCCTAGGGGGTGATCCTTCTCCTGCTCCACAGTCTCCACAGGGTGGTCCCACTCCTCCTGTGACCCTGGGAGGGCAGGTCACCCGTTTTGCAGTAAGGGAAGTTGAGGCTGAGCTAGGCAAGGATCTGCTGCTGGGAAGTGGTTGTGCCAGGATCAGACCCCAAAAATCCCTGGGTTAGCCCCCCAGGAAGCCTACCCACCCTACTAGAGGCTGGGGCATAAGAGGGGGCATTCACAGCCAGCGGCTTCTCTTCCTGTGGCCTCTAGCAGGTGACTCTGCCTCCCGGTGCCTCCCCTGGCTGATGGCCTGGAGGAGGTGGGGCCTCCTGGCCGCCCTGCGTGGGTGGCAGAAGGTTCCCTGAGATAGGACAAGGAGGCAGGCCAGGGCTGCGAGCCTTGAGCGAGGGCTCGTCCCTCCCCCTTCCTACCACAGTTACTTCCCCGAGACTCTTCCATTTTATTTTTAAAGGAAGACCGTTCCAGCAGTACACTTAATGTTAAGACCCAGGGCGTGGGACCCCCTGGTTGGCTGGTTACAAGTGAAGGGTTGATGCCAGGACTGCATTTAGAGCCTCTCCCCAGCCCCCACCGGGCACCAGCCTTCTCTGCACGCCCTCCCTGCCCATGTCCAGTTATGGGGCCAACATCAGTTTTACGGAGCTTGCACTCCAAATTGTTCTCTACTTTTATTTATGTTTTTAATTTGATGGTACATTCGGGGCTTCAGTATTAGTAGGTCAGTATTATACTTCAGGTCAGTATTATACTACATCACTGACTAGACTCCTTTCTTTGGTTGTGGGTGGTGACTTCTTGTGACCTTCATCCCCCATGTTTATGAGGCTTAATAAGGGAGGAGAGGCTCTGGGGATCTTGGGGAGGGGTTATGCCCCCCCACTTGTTGACGTGATTGCTGTGAAGCGTAGTACACCACCTGCAGTTGCCGTCTGGGGTGGAGAGCCCTGGCCATAGCCAAACCTTGCAGC